ATTGAGAATCTCAAAATCAAGTCTCATTATCACTTTCCAACTATACAAAGTGTTAGACTGGAAATCAGTAGGAGGAGTGAGATTACATATAATCTGTCTAAAATATCAGTTCAATCGTTTATGTTCTGTGAAGTATGAAATGAGTTGATTTGTATGTTATGCTGCTGTTATGTGCCATCGTGTTGCTTGCAACTCATAGCATCCCTATGTACAACAGCCCTGAACCCTGCTCTATCCTGTGCCAACTTTATTGTCTCGAACACACCTACCACCATTACCCCAGCCATTGAGTCAATCCCTCTTATCCAAGGTCTTTCTCTCTTGCACTGTCCCCCCACCCTGCCACTCAGCATATCTTTCTTAAATATCGACCATGTGCTGTAAACTGGTCTAGTGTTGAGGCTTTACAGCCAATGAGAGAGACAAGACGATCTCTCTATGGCTTTTTCAATATTGTGCACAAAAGGAAAAGAAATACCTGCAGATATTGATAAACATAAGAAATACAAACTGAGTCATGTGAGCAAGAGTTCTAGAAAGGGTTCATATTAGAGAACCTCGTGAAGATCTCTTCTGAGGAAATGACATTTGAGTCTCAATGGCAAGACAGAGTCAAAAAGTGAAGGCGAGAGGGAAGAATATTTTAGGCAGATAATTAGCAACTGCTGTGTGAGTGAGCATCTGAGGATCAAGTAACAGAAAGCTTATCAGAGCTGCAAGAAGTAGAAGATGATACGGTGAGGGGCAGCCAGTCATGCAGGACCTTCAAGAGCTTCAAGGAGTACAAAGTTTAGATCTAATTCAAAATAGGGAGAACAGTTTGTAAGAGAATGATTAAACTGACATTATGCACTGAAGAGACTGATCAGGCAAGTATGCAGACTAAGAGCCAAAGAAGCTGGGAGAGAAGCTGGGAGACTTCCTCCACAGCGAGAGATCTCACTTGGGTAGTGAAGCTTTTACTCACATGGCCTTGGGCTTGCCAGACTCAGGAGATAAGTTCTTTGTGTCCAACAAGGAGGGAATCAATCTTTGCACAGTTCTAGGCATCATGTAAAGAATGCATTGCGTTCGCTTGACCTCGAAGGATTTAGTAGTTGCAAGATTTTGTATTATCTCATCCAGACTGGACTGGGAACCTAGGAAGAGTTAAGGAAGAGATACAATTGTCCATTTAGATGTTACAAGAAGTGCTCAAAGAAGAAAGCATGATTTGATGTCAAAATATTGCTTCCAGAGTTGCAGCTGTCACTTACATGAGTCACCAAGTAAGATTGTTTACTCTTCTGCAAACAGAGGTGATACTAGAAATCTTAGATTATTCTGAAATCCATGAAGACAGTCTTTTAAATAAAGTAACCAACTTCCCTGCGCACATACTATATTTCATTAGTTAGTCATTTAATCCTTATATACACCTTATGTTTTAGACACTTGATTTTTTCCATATATATACATATATGTGTGTGTGTGTGTGTGTGTGTGTATGCATGTGTGTATATATGTTGTTGATCACCTTCGAGTTGAGCACAATTCATAGCAACCCTATTAACAAAAGGTCTGAAGCCCCTTTACAACTATCAACATTTATCAAAGTTCATAGAGTTTCCAGAGGCATGTTTTTTAAAATGTGGATGCCAATCTTGCCTCCAAACCTATTCTAGTATGTTATTGTTGTAATGTGCCATTGAGTTGCCTGCAAAGTATAATGAACCTATGTACAGCAGCTCGGAACTCTTCCCCATCCCAAGCCAATCTCACTAATTCTGACACACCAACTCCCACTGCCCCAGCCACCATATCAATCCATCCCATCAGGGTCCCTTGACCCTGTGCCACCTGTCCACCCCTCCTAGCATGATATCCCCCTCCAAGGACCGATCCTTCCCGCCCATGTGCCCAAAGTTAAGTGAAGCGAACCTTCAAAGTCTCAGCCTCCAAGGAGATACCTGGCCCCACTCTCTCCAAAACAGACCCACTTGTTCTCCTGGTTGTCCAGGCACGTTCAAGACTCCTCCGCAGCACCACAATCCGAAGGCATCTATTCTTCTTCTGTCGTCCTAGTCATTGTCCAACTCTTTGAAGCATAACAAGTAATCGCAAAGACCATGGCCCAGGTTAGGCGCACCTTTGTATTTAGACTAACATTGTTGCTCTTCAGCACTCTGGAGGGGTCTATGACAGCAGATTTTCCCAGTGCAATCCGTGTTTTGATTTCCTGACTGCTGGTGTATAGCAAATACGCTTTGTTTAAAAAGCACACTTTGGTGAAAGCGGACTGAGGTTCAACTGGAGTCAGTACCAAAAAAAGAGAAAATCAGGGCATTTATCTAGCCTATGCTGGTGAGTGAAGCCTTTAAATTGTGGTGCTGGAGAAGGGTAACGAACACACCATGGACAGCCAGGAGAAGCAACAGTTCTGTCCAGCAGAGGGCGAAACCAAGCTTCTCCCTGGAGAGAAGGACTCCAAAGCTCCTTCTCAATACTTTGAGCACTGTGGCCAAAAGGGACCAGTCCCTGGATAAGGACATCATGTCCGGCAGGAGAGAGGGACAGCACAGGAGAAGAGAAATTTTTAGTATGTTTACAAAACACATTCTGAACCCTCAACTAAAAGAGAGTGTACAATTCACAGCTCCTCCTATTACGCGCAGAGTTTACAGGCTTTGAGCAGGTGAATGTGCTTGGGATTAAAAGGCACCTAGTTGTAAACATAAAGTCCCAGGAACCACCACCCATCTCAAAATCCTTACTCTGAATCTGCAAATGTTGCTTCCAGTTGATGACTTCTGAGATACCAAGAAACTTCTGACATTGCTTGAGATCTTTAGAATAGAGCTGGTAGGTGTTGGTGTAGAAATCAAAGTCATCTGTCATATCCTGTTTGGGAAATAAAGAAACTGGATTATATTCACTGACTGCATTAATAGTGTTTAGTATTCCTATCAAGTGTATTTTCTTACATCTACTATATATATACATATATATATAGCATATATATTACTATATATTTCTTTTATCTGCTATATTTCCTATCAAGTGTATTTTCTCATATTTACTAGTGATAGTTGATGTGTTTTCACTATTCTCAAATTAACAACAGCATGAGCTCAAGCCAGGGCCTTAATTACTCAATTTTCTATCTAAACAAACTCAACAACTTGCTGAACAAGATACATATATACTGCTCTACAATTTAAAATAAAAAACCTTAAAATTTAAAAACAATTTCATTACAATTTCAAAGCATACCAACTTACAAGTTATTATTTATAATAATATGGAAGCTCTGGTGGCTTAGTGGTAAGGAGTTGCACTGCCAACTCAAAGGCACATGGTTCGGATCCAGCAGCTTCTCTGTAGGAAAAAGATGGACAATCTCTTCCAGTGTGACTTACTGCCTCCAAAACCTGCTGGAGCTATGGGTCAGTTCCAACTCAATGGTACATAACAACAAAAATAAAGAAGAAACTTACTGACAAGGAAACTTTGGTTGCAGGTAAAGTTTACTCTACTTGAGAAAAAAAAAATGGATTGTGACCACAACCATATTGAAATTGATACAGATGACCCTGTATTCAAATCTTATTCTAGTCAAGATGAAATAAAATGAAAACTACTGTTACATCAAAATGAAAACCACTAAGTACTATTGTTAAAAAAATATGTGCATTGACGCCTTTGAGCTGTGGTGCTGGAGAAGAGTATTGAATGTACCATGGACTGCCAAGAAAACAAACAGAGTCATCCTAACGAGGGTTAAATCAGGCTACTCCTTGGAGGCAAGGATTCTGGGGCTTCGTCTGACACACTTTGGACATGTTGTAAGGAGAGAAAGCCCTCAGAGAGGGACATCATGCTTAGGAGGGTGGAGGGATGGTGCAGGAAAGGAAGGCCCTCTATGAGGTGGATTGATTCAGTGACTGGGGTAATCGGGATGGGTATGTCAGAGGCAGTGCGATTGGCACAGGATAGAGCAGGGTTTAGGGCTGTTGTACATAGGGTCGCTATGAGTCGCAAAAGACTCAACGGCACATAACAACAACAACAACACTATGTGCATTCTAGCACAGTCAAAAGATAATGTGTTCAAAATAATTTTCTCAATCGTATCAAACAAGAAGCAGGATTATTTGAATGAGAAAGGAGTCAAAGGACCCAACTAACCACAAATAAAGTCACTGGAAAATCTTGTGCAGTTCCATATGCACATTTTGTGTACAACTCAATGACGACTCTACTAAAAATCAGCTGGAGAGTCAGCTATGAATCAGTGCTACTTCAATGGGGCGTAACAGAACAGCAGAGAGCAAATAACATCATTCCTATATTAACTGTAATGGGTTAAAATTTCTCTAGTTTTATATTCTGGTTGGGTTATTGCTTTTAGATAGATAGATAGATAGATAGATAGATAGATAGATAGATAGATAGATAGATAGATCTTATTGTTATTTATAAGCAACATATTAAAATAATCCTGTATATACAACATTTACATTTTAACACCTGTGGATTTTTTACTTTCTACTTTACAGTGAACCTGTAACATTTATAGTTCAAAAGTACTGAACATTTAGAATGATGTTTTAAATGTTTGATGTAGAAAAAATATTCCTAAATATAGGTATTTTATTTTGTTTTTTTAAAAAAAATTTAAATGATTATTTCAATGAAAGTTTATAGAAAGGTTAGGTTTTCATTCATTCATTGTTGTACATTTTCTTTCCTTCCCTGCCTTTCCCCTATTCCCAATTCGCTTTGTAATCCACCTCTTGTCCCAGACTGTCAATTGTTACACAAACAATGCTACTCATACATTCCCTTCAGACAGCCCTTCCCCTCATCCATTCCAGTGCAGTGTTTGTTATTTACTCATTCTTTTCCTGTTCTACCCCCAATCCCCCATGTCAGCCCTATTTTATAACAGGGGAGTTACACAGTATTTTTCCTTTTGTGACAGAGATATTTCACTCAGTACAATGTCTTCTAAACTTATCCATGTCGTTTCATTTATTTGCCCTTCCTATTTCCACCAGTTAAAACATTACTACTCTTTGAGTCTGAAAAAAATATGTTTCTTTTCAAAGTTAAGTTCTGGTGAAATTTTCACCAAGATGTATCTCTAACCATTTCCCCCACCACCCCCAGCTTCCTAATAAATAGTTTAAACCAGCTTTTGCCTGGTCTATTTGTATGCCTTATACACCTTCCAGATTTGCATAATTCACATTGCATTGTAATAGATTTCTTTTTCATCTGCTTCCGTCTGTGAACTTCCTGAGAACAGACACTTGCTTTCCATCCTTATGATTCATACGTGTGGCCCCACGTTCCACCATATTGCCAGACACATGCCAGGCAACAAGAGGAACATGAAAGCCTAATCATTTCACATGTGGTAGCTTACCTGTTCTTGTGGGCGGATAACCACTGTATTAAAATCTGGCCACTGGTCCACTAGGGCCTTTAGCTTAAATGGGTTTCCCTGGTTCATGTGGAAGACAGTCCCATAAACCTGAAACATCCCAAGAAAAGTGGACGGTCAGTATGTCAAGATGGGATAGTAAAGTGCCATGCATTTGATTGATAAGAATACAACTTCTGTCTCACCCTAAAATATGCACAATCCTTTAGGGTGTGATAAAATAGCAGTTGACCTATTACCAATGTCTAAGAAGAATCATCAAACATATGACTATTCTGGAGAACAAATGAAACAATGAAGTGTTACTTTTTGTCTATTCGACCAAGGAGGATAGAAGGAGAATTGATGCCTTTGAGCTGTGGTGCTGGAGAAGAGTATTGAGAATACCATGGACTGCTAGGAAAACAAACAGATTTGTTCTGGAAAGGGTTAAACTTGGTGGCTCCTTGGAGGCAAGGATTCTGAGGCTCCGTCTAACATACTTTGGACATGTTGTGAGGAGAGACCGGTCCTTGGAGAAGGACATCATGCTTGGGAGGGTGAAGGGACAGCGCAGGAGAGGAAGGCCCTCTATGAGGTGGATTGATTCAGTGACTGGGATAATCGGGATGGGAGTGTCAGAGACAGTGCGATTGGCACAGGACAGAGCAGAGTTTAGGGCTATTGTACATAGGGTTGCTATGAGTCCCAAGCAACTCGATGGCACATAGCAACATAACAACAACAACAACAACAACAACAACAACAACAACAACATTACTCTGAGAGGTATATTCAAAAGTTAATGTTCTCTCAACAGAGTTGTTGAAAGCACAGAATGTAAGTGATTTTAGGTCACAGAATTGAAGACTCAAATGTGACTGCCCCATGCCATGGTATATTCACATGTCTCACATGCATTTGGGAGTTGGACAAGGAAGAAGAAAGATTAAAGACTTGATGCTTTGTACTGTCCTGCTGTTGAAGAATATGGAATATACTAATGGACTGTAAATAGAACAAACAAATCTGCACTGGACCAATTGCAGCCAGAATGTCCCCTGAAGGAGAAGAGAGGATTTTATCTGTTGTAACTTGAGCATGTTATCATCTCTTCCATGGGAAGCTTCTTTTCCCCATTCTCACCTTTAAAGATTCGGGAAGGCTCTTCTTCAAGGCTTGCTCCAGCATCTGCAGCATCTTTGGGCCCTGCAAGTGTAACATCTTGGCACTAACCTTCTCCTAGGGATAGGACTCTATAAAGCTGACAAGAAACATAAAGGAATGTGAAAATCTGGGAAGGCACGTAGACAAACAGTTGTAGCTAATGGGCGGCCTCCATCCTAGTCCTTGTATCGCTGCACCATGTGCTAGACTTCTCAGCAATTCTAAGGCAAGACAAAACTGGGAGAAAACAAACATTTCTTTCATAAATTATTTTTAGCATAGAAGTTATTTTTTTTTTATTTTAAAATCTCACTGTTGGTATAAGGCAGCACGCACATATATTTACGTGTTCTCTATTTGTACCTGTACCAGATAATCCTTTTTAAAAATCACAGTTGAGAACAAGGCCTCTGTTATGTATCTCTTGAGGGTATCAAGACAAGGGAAGCTGGAGATTCCTGAGGGCTAACTTGGCATTTTACCTAGCGACATCTCACAAGAAAGTTACAACAAACAAGAACAAAGTAGAATTTGATGCCACCATTGCTGCCAGGGATATATTATTAATGTATTGTTTAAAATAAACAAAAGACACACCTGTATCATTTGGGAAAACCATCTTCACTTGCACACATGCAATATGAAAACATAAAAGTGGTGCTCATTAACTATCTCAGTCAGTCACATAGGGACAAACAGTGTATAAGACCACCATGGGATAATAGAAGGATAACTGAGTAAAATATGTACCAAAGCTCAAAAGGAGAAGAGAAAGGGGGAGGGGAGAAGGAGGGGTAGAAACAGGAGAAAAGGAAAATCACTGGGATGGCAGAGGTTGGTGAGTGGAAATGTTTACTGGGGACTTGAAAAGATGAGGAGATAACAGTTCTAGAGTAATGGTAACTAATCATAGAAAATATAATGAATATGAAAGTATGAAACACAAAACGCATGCAACAAACACAACGTATATGAATGACTGTGGAAGACACAAAGTATGTGTACAAAACGCAATGTATATGCAAGCCAATAAAAATTCTTGAAAATGTGCTTCTCAGTAAATGCAGCTGAAAGAAGACTTGGTGGTGCAGTGATTGAACACTCAGTTGCTAATGGAAAGACTGATGGGCTTTGACCCCTCCAGCTTCTCTGTAAGAAAATGACCAGGCAATTTGCGTCTACAAAGCTGTCAGGCTAGGAAGCTCTGTGGGGCATTTACTCTCAATTGAGCTTGCTATGAATTAAAATTGACTCAAAAGCACACAACAACAAGTAGTCTGAAAAACTGAGAATGCTCTAGAAAGCCAACAAATTTCTGCAGCCTTCAGCATTGGAAAAGGGCAAAGTCCTTGTAAAGAGTACTTTGAAACCTTTGACATCCTGGCACTTGGAATTTGTTCAAAAGAATAAAAATTAGGAAAAATCCTTTACATAAAAGTGTTGTTGCTGTTGTTGATTGCTGTCTAGTCAAAGCTGAACAAAAGACCTAAAGTCTTTCTATACCAATCATCGTTTCTCAAAGTTCATAGAGTTTCCAGTGGCATGTTGTTTAGGAAGTGGATAAAGTAAATTATTAATTAACACACTGGATAGAGTCTCAGTATAATTTGCATAAATAAAGATCTATAATTATATTACTTCTCTAAAAACTATTAACGTTAAAGCTGTGATAAGTATTTTGTCATAATGGAGACCATTGATATGCAATGTGGAGAAGATGGATCATAAAACATTTCACACATGTCAATTAAAATCTTTATAATCATCAGTGTAAAATCTTTTGCATATTTGTAAATATCACAGATATAAAAAAATAATTTTCAAGGAAACAGTCAACGATATCATAGCAGTTAGAGTTGAAATATTAAAAGTTATGTTGACTTTTACATGATTTTAAAATGAACAATTAATCTCAGACTTTGTAATAGAGTCTATTTCCTTTATTACTTTAAGCAGAAGACATAATTTCTTATTATTTACACAAAGAAAAAAGAACAACAACGCTGTCTACCTTAGAATGACACCCAAGGATTAAATAATTTAATATTTGGATAGTACCATCTACATATTAAGTGTTAAATAAATTTCCCTTGAGCGAACCTATTCCATATCAGAGACTACTACATGTTCTCTTGACTCCCTACCACCAATAAGTTGCCAAACCCCTCCATATTTATTTATAAATCCCAAACAAAAATAGCCAAGAATTTCTCACACATCTAGTCCACTTTCTTTTATACAACAGGAGTGACATTCAAGTCTCTCAAGTGGAAAAGCTTCCATTCCTCACACAGGATCTTAACAAAAATTAGTTCAAAATTCTTATTTGTACTTGGCCAGAGAATCTGGATTCATTTTGCCTCGGTATGCAATCAAAAGGAGAGTAGGATCCCAACACATTAGATTTGCCCTCACCTGCAAAGCTGTTCTTTCATCAGCGTCTGCAAGGACACCCAAGAGCAGATAGAAAGCAGTGGACTACTCCAGAAAATAGGATTTCCCTCTGATCCAGCAGTGTATGATGTTCTTGAAGGATTGCTTTAGTCTGTTTCTTCCAGAAATTGCTAAGCAGAGGTCCTCAAAAGAACTCAGACACCAAACAGGCACAGACTTTACCAGCTGGTGTGGGATTGAACTCTCTCTAGGTTCCCTTTAAGAAGGTGATCCTGTCACGTTAAAAAACTAACAGTATGGCAAAAAGAGTCTCTTTGTGAATACTAACCTGTTTTCTGCCCTCAAACGGTTCTGCTAGTCATTACTCAGCAACTTTGTGAAACTAACATTCCAGGAGCTGGCAGGTGGATGGGACTCTCATAACATCATCCCTTCATTTGCCTTTCTCTTCACAGGCACCTGAAACAAAAGCAGCCTTGAGCTGTTATTAAAATTTGGAAAAGAGACCCAGAGCTCTTCTCTAATCCATAAATAAAAAAAATAATAATCTATTTGTTGATACTAAATGGTTTGGGTGAAAGCAAGATATATCTTGGCTGAAATCAGAGAATACATGAAAAGGTGTTTGTATTATTGATTATACCAAAGTATTTGACTGTATACCAGGAAATCAGGATACAAATTGCATTGGGAAAGTCAGCTGGGAGGGACCTCTCAAGAGTGCTGAAGAGCAACGACATCAAGCTGGAGACTAAGATGCGCCTGATCCAGGCTATAGTCTTTGCAATTACATGGAGTGGAGTGGTGGGAATGAATGTGTTTGAAACAGCGAGGTTGGCACAAGATAAAACATAGAACCGAGTTTAGGGCTCTTGTACATAGGGTCGCTATGAGTCGCAAATGACTCGATGGCACATAACAACAACAACAACCACAATAAAGTCTAAATTTCATTGAGAAGAATAGGAATCCCAGAATACTGAATTCTGCTCATGTACAATCTATAAAGAGACCAAGAGGCAGTTGTCCAAACAGAATGAGGAAAAAAAAGCATAGTTTAAAATCAGGATATGTGTTGCATCCAGGCTGTATCCTTTCTCCACACCTATTTGATCTGTTTGCTGAGAAAATCATTCATGAAACTGGACTATATGAAGCTGAATGTGGCACTGGATGGTTGGAGGAAGAATCATTAGCAATATGTTTTATACAGTTAACACAATTTTGCTTGCAGAAAGTGAAAAAGACTTGAAACACTTAACAAAGAAAATCAAAGACTACTATCTTCAGCACAAGTTACATCTCACATCAAAACAAAACTCCTCATCACTGGACCAAAAGGCAATATGAGGTTGTTGTTGTTGCTAGGTGCCAATGAGTCACCTAAGACTCACAACAACCCCGTGAACAACAGATCTGAAACTTGCCTTCTCCTGCACTATTGTCATGGTTTCTAATATGCTCGAGTCCATTGTTAAAGTTACTGTGTCATTAAAAAGACTGAGGTCTTCCTCTCTTAATCTGACCATCCACTTTTTCTAGCATGGTATCCTCCTCCAACAGATGACTTCTCCCGACAATATTCCCACAGTAGGAGAGGCAAAGTTGCACCATCTTGCCTTTGGGGAGTACGCTGGTTGCACTATCTCCAAAACAAAATTGTTTGTTCTTCTGGCAGTCTGTGAGATGTTGGATGCCCTTCTTCACCACTGAAACTTGAGGCCATCAATTCTTCCATCATGCTCATTTATTGTCCAATTTTCAGATGCATACAAAGCAAATTAAAAGACCATGGTTTAGATCAATCGCACCTTAGTCTTCAAACTGACATCCTTGCTCTTAAGCAGGTGGAGAGTTCCTAGATAGCAGCTTTTCTGACTGAACACATCTTTTGATTTCTTAACTGCTGCTACTATAGGTGCTGATTGTAGATCCCAGCAAAATTAAATTGTTGATACTTTCATTCTTATCATCATCTATCACAGTGTTGTCTATTGGTCCAGTGATAAGGATTTGTATTTTATTGATGTTGAGGTTTAATGCATATTGAAGGCTGTAGTGTTTGATCTTTTTCAGAAAGTGTTTCAAATATTTTTCACTTTCAGCATGCAAAGATGTATCATCTTCACAATGCAAGTTATAATGAGCTTCCTCCAACTCTGATGTCACATTCTTCTTCATAGAGTTCAGCTTCCTGTATGATTTGCTCAGCATACAAATTGAATAGTAATGGAGAAAGGATACAACCCTGACATACACTTTTCATGATTTTAAACTACACAGTTGTCAAAAGAGCAAGGGTCATGTGAGGCTGTCTAGATCTGACCTTTACCAAGTTTACAAAGGTGAACTGTCCCCATAAACAGTATCAATAACACAAAACAAATTCTCATGAAGTGAGGCATACCCATCACACTCCCATACCCATTTCTACTCATTACCAATCTTACTGCTTAGCTGGTTCCAAAACCTGATGCAAGCTCACACACCACACAGAACCTTATTGGAGAAGGCAAAATGTTATAATACAGACTAATAACAGAATGCAGTCAAGACAGCTCCCAAAATGTGCACATAGGCACTTCAGCCTCATGCATCACAGTTTTTTGGACAGTGTTCCCAAGTTCTCAGTCCTCTCAATTATCCAACAAAGTTTTTATGCT